TTTCTAGAGCTGGTCAAAAATGGGAAAGGAATGTTGCAAAAATAATTTAAATTTCTGAAGTTGTTTCAATTTTGCAGGGTTCAAAACAGAATGATTTTCAGTTTTATGCAAAAAACATTTTTTGATATTTCACAATTTTGAATTTTAAAATTTTTCAAAAGTCATTGTTTTTCTTTTTTCTTCTTTTTCCCACTGAATTCAATAGAAAGAATGATGTCCAGAGGTTTGTTCTTCACTTTTTTTCCCCCTACTCTAACTTTTCAAATGTTAAAGAAATTTTGGAAAGTTAGAGTGGCAAAAGGAAAAATTAAAATTGGGAAATGAGAAATGACCTGGGGATCATCCATTTTGCTACATTTGTGGGTTGGGAATCCTAAAACAAGACACAAATTTTGAAATTTTCTATTTCAACCAAAGAAAATCCAGAAAACTTCTGGAAAATAAAACAAAGCTTTTTGCAAAAGATTTTGGTTTTGAAAAAGGTAATTTTCCTTTATAAATAATAAACTGCATGAAAGATTTCAGCCAGCTCTACTGTTCTCCTTATTCTAATAAAGTTCCTTTTTCAGTGTTAAAAGAAAAACTGGTTTCAGAGTGGTAGCCGTGTTAGTCTGTATCAGCAAAAACAACGAGGCATCCTTGTGGCATCTTAGCGACTAACAAATTCCTTTGGGCATAAGCTTTTGTGGGCTAGAACCCACTTCATCAGAAGCATTGAGTCGAAAATACAGTAGCAGGTATAAATACACAGCACATGAAAAGATGGGAGTTGCCTCTAACAGACCTAAAAGTGGCAATTCTTGAACAAAAAAACTTCACAAACAGACTCCAACATGAAACTGCAAAACTGGAATTAATTTGCAAACTGGACACCATCAAATTAGGCCTGAATAAAGACTGGGAGTGGTTGGGTCATTATAGAACCTAATTTCCCCCTACTGTTATTCACACCTTCTTGTCAACTGTTTGAAATAGGCCACTCTCATTACCACTACAAAAGTGATTTTTCCTCCCGTTGTATCCTACCGTTAATTGAATTGGCCTCATTAGACTGACCCCCCACTCAGTAAGGCAACTCCCATCTTTTCATGTGCTATGTGTTTATATACCTGCCTACTGTATTTTTCACTCCATGCATCTGATGAAGTGGGTTTTAGCCCGCGAAAGCTTATGCCCAAACAAATTTGTTAGTCTCTAAGGTGCCACAAGGACTCCTGGTTGTTTTTTTTTAAAAGAAAAACTATTTGTGATTCTCTATCACTGTCATATAACCAGCTATTCCCTTGAATTAAAAATAATTATCTGTCTAACAACAATGGTTATGTGTGTGTTTTCTTTAAAAAAAATACACAGAATAAATTATTTGCATATAATTTTCCAGATAAATTTCTCATGAACTAAGTACAGGTTTAAAAAAATAAAATAAAAACAAAAACCTCCTCTAAATCCCTTATATTTGTAAGTGTCTTGTAATTTTCAATATCTTACTAATGCATTCAGAAAACAATATGGGAACCCTCCAGTGGGTAATTTAACACCAGTATGTTTGCATGGCTTCTTACCAGAGACTATTTCATTTATTGAATAAAGTGCCTGATATTTCAAAGCCATTGAGTTCAAATCCTATAAGGGTTGTAATTTTTATGAAATATTAATCAGACATTTTCTCTCAGAATTAAATTATGAAAAATTATACCATTAATGAGTTTTATCTTTCAAGGAATATTTGCCACCTAAATTTGGTTTATTGTTATTAGCTTTTAGAATTAACTAAGAAACGTGCTTTTAGGACTCTTTCAGAGGTTTTTTTAAAATTGTATCATTAAAATATTGATATGGTCAGAAAGATCAAATGTAAAAATGGCATCTTCTTACTCAGCAGATTGGCTCCAAAGATATATCTTATTACTATACAAAAAATAAATAAAGTGTACTGCTTTTCATTTATGTTAGCACTGCAGAGCTAATTTAACTTTGGGAGAATAAGCTAAATTCTCTTTTGGCTTATGCATCATCAGCAGAATTGTTACGTAACTTCCAACTGCAGGGGGAAGGATAGCTCAGTGGTTTGAGCATTGGCCTGCTAAAGCCAGGGTTGTGAGTTCAATCCTTGAGGAGGCCATTTAGGGATGTGGGGAAAAAATGGGGATTGGCCCTGCTTTGAGCAGGTGGTTGGACTACATGACCTACTGAGGTCCCTTCCAACCCTGATATTCTATGATTTCCCACTGGTGATGAAGTGTGAAATAGAAAGAACACAGACTGACTTAGTTTCTGGGTACAGTTTACCAGACCAGCAATTAGAAAAACAACAGCATCTTTTGACTGGTAAATTGAACAAATTTTATATGGAGACTCAGAGAAAAACACAGAGCATCACAAGGTCATTGTTACAGAGTCACATTTCATTGTAGAACCACATTTCTACTGCATTAGTGGAAAAATATGGGCACCCTCTACTGGTTAAAATAATAAATATGTTCAGATGAATATTAGTGTTTGCTGCAAAGATATGGGGAGAAATTTTGGCCCTAAATAAGTCAATGGGAATTTTGTCATTGACTTCTGTGGGACCAGGATTATTTATAGAAGAAAATAAAAAGAAGTATATATGCACAGTTCAGGCTATTTCCTATGGTTGGGGGGTACTGGTTCAGCCATTTGCCTATAGGCAGAACCCCAATAGCTCTGCTTTGGCTCACTTTCCCTGAGATCACAGTTGGTTATGACCCTTCCACTCACAATAGCAGAAGACTTAATGAAAAAAAAAAAGGGAATTCACACAAATGAAGGGAGCATGTTTTGATTATTAAGCCCATTACACAAATTGCTTCAAATCGTAAACATTAGCTTGGGAATCAAGTCTTTATTTTTATTTCCATTTATCTGGAAGGACCATTGAACCAAAGGAAAACACATGGAACACTGGCAGAGTTGGAGCTTTGCTATGTTTGGGCTGGAAACTGAAATCCATCCTCGCCCACATGGTGCCCACAGAAGAATCCCCAGACATTCCAACCTGAAGAAGCAACCATGATTAAAAACGAACAATGTGCTTCTGCCCACTCAAGGTAATGTAACACGTCGTCCACACTGACACCCGGGCGTTTCAGCCGGGGTGCAGCAAGCTAAATGCTTCTCATGAAGGTGGATTATCAGGAGTGCTCCAGTTGCAGAGTCCAGGCGCTCTAAGTGCCTTGCCAATGTGGACACCTCAGGAGTTAGGGCGCCCGGGGCACAATGACCCTTAGCCCATAAACCTGGATAGCTGGTAGTGTATACTGAGCATTCGTACAGATTTCCTGGGACAGCTACTGCAAAAAAAGGATGATCACAAGAAAACCTGGACAGGTGGTACACTACTGTCCCTCTTCTCCCTCCTCCAGTTCCTGTCACCCTCCACCTCTACTCTTCCCCATCCTCTGGCTCCTGGAACCCCTCTCCCCTCCCCTTCTATTTCTCACCACTTTGCATTCCAATCAGGCTGCTGCATCTTCCTCCTTGAGTCCTTGCTACCTGGGTATCAGCACTGAGGTCATTGAGAGAAAAGGAGAGACATTTCCCTGCCTGGAGCCATTGTGGCCCCTGGCAACAAGAGGAGCAACTGTAGGAAACATCATGCTCAGCTCTTGTAGCCCTTGTCTGAAGTGTGCTCCAAAACTCTGTGTGCACAGTGTGTGTGCACTCTAGTTGCACATAGGAGCAGTGAGGGAATGGAGCATTTTCAGTGCAGATGGAATCTTTGGAGAATTAAACTGCCAAACTCTACAAAGTCTCTACTGAGCATGTGCAAACTGAAAATTCAGTGACTTAGAACTTGGTCAAATTTAGGTATATTTTCATGAGGACAGCAAAAAGCACATCCCTGACACCAGGGCAACACCTTCCTCTCATTCCTCCCCCCATTCCAGACATTTCAAGTCTCTGCTCCAAAGTATGAAGGAGCAAGAGCTTCTCAAAGTGGGTTGTAAGAATTTAATATGGGAGAAACAACCTATTTTCCCTAATCTCGTTACCAGAAATGGCTGAACAATTTTTGCTGAATCTTTCCAAAAAAGCCTTCAGCACAAGACAGACTCTCAACCTTAACTACAGTCAGCAGTTCCAGTTCCAACTATAGTAGTTGTATTAAAAATATCTACTAGCTCTAATACAAAAAATAAATTCTGTATATCTTGAGGATTCAAAACTATTAGGTTTTAAGCTAGGGAATGTCTTTTTTATTAACGTTATGTGTGTGTACAATACTTACCAGAGTCAGCCTGGAGGGCTGCAGTAGAAGTAAATATGAATTAATAAACTAATAGTCATAACGATAATGTCATACTATGAACCTATACACTTTGTGTCTATGATGCACATTTGATGAGGGATAAGGTTCAGGAATTTTTTCCTCCAAAAACTGATTCATCCCTAATAAAACGCCAGAGCTCGCGGTAGCTATAACATTGCTTACTGAACCATCACCATGGATGCTGTTTAAATGAAGATTTTCTTAACAGCACCTGTGGCTGAGATGAGGAAATTAGCTATTGAAAAAGAAATGTGTGTCATTAATGGTATATTGTGCATTCAGGGATGATGGGAGCTATTGCAAACAGAGCTCACTAGGACAGAAATATCCAGTTTTTTCAAAAGCCTGTTTTAAATTCAATTTATAAAGCCCAAACTGGGTTGACAGTAAAACCAAATCCTACCGAGCTATTTGCGACCTTGGCTCACATGCTGAGCCTCCTAAAGAAGACCAGAGATTCAGTCCATATACTATACACTTCCTCACTTAGTTTGTCTTGTTTTCCACTTGTTTGACTTCCATTCCTCTGCTGTCAATTTTCTCTCTTGCCCTACTCAGTCTCTACTTAAATATCAGGACAAGTGATTTGCTTGCTGTATGGTTCAGTATAATTGAAAGTGTTTCCAGCCTCAAATGGTCAAAAATCATGACTCAGGTCCCAACAAATCATAAAATTGGCTTAAAGAATCAAAGTTTTTTCAAAGGATACATTCTAGGTTTTTATTTGCTTTTGGTGAGGTTAGTAGTTAGGGTACACACAGGTCACTTTTCAGGCCTCTCTCTTCAACACTTAGGCCTAGAAACTTACTTAAAAAAAAGAAAGAAAGCTGAGATTGCCACATAAGCAGAGGATTCAGGAGCTGGGGCTTTATGACATACACCAAATAACCCAAGATTTATGAAAAAAATTCCAAGACCTGGTGACACTGCGACATTTCTTTTGTGTTCTCTTTAATGATGTCCTCTTTTAGCATCTTCTTTTGTCTAGCTGTAAAATCAATTGTAGCTGGTTTAGGGCCAGATTATGATCCCTTATTCACACTGAATAGTACCTTACACCACAAACAGTTCCACTGAATTCAGTGCAGTTAGGTACTACTTCATGTGAGTAAGAAAATACTCTGTAAAGGAGAGGAATGAAATGATGTTATGGAGTGATCATGTTATATAAAGATTTATTAATACTAATAACGCAAGAGAGAAAACATTCACGTGAAAAGACAAACATTCAACATGCCAGGCCTCTTTGCTAAACTAGGATATGCCACTGGGATTTGTTTTAAGCAGCTGTAAACTTTTCTGACATCTGTTTTATTGCTTCCTCATCGGCATAGCTGCTACTGAATATCAACAGCACAGGCTACCAACACAGGATGAGCGGAGTCAAATCTCATCTTGGGAATTTCTGCTCCATTCTGGAGTTAGGGAAAGTGAGGCTGTGATTTGCTAATGGTCAGGCAGGAAGTACATAAAAAAAGCAGGATCAGAGTCCAGATCTTGTGATTCGTAACCTTAATATTTCTTCATGAGCCCGCAGCAGAGCTCCTGCATATTGCACAACAACATCAGCCTTTAAGAGGATCCTGCTAAAGGGAGAGTGTTTTGACACCAGTATCCTGAAATAGTATAGGGAGAAGATTAAAGAAATCTGGGGGGGAAAGGGCCTAGAATCAATGACATTGATAGTCATGTAAGCAGTGTCAGGATGAGCTCCACCCTGACATCTGGTGGTGAGGTGTGACAAGTTGTGGAAAAGAACTTCAGGGGCCGATCTCATTTGCATAGGCACACCCACCACGCCTAGAATGAGACCATAGCTGCCCAAATGGTCACTTTGGCTGCTGTGGGATCCCCAGTGTCTCTGTTATTGGGGCAGGAAGAATAAATTGTTATTACCCTGATTATGGGAACTGTGCTTGGAACTGTATGTGGCCTTTTGTTATGATGGAGGGATTCACCATCAACTAAGTAGCACTCGCTAGGCAAGGGTCATGGGTTCCAAAACTGTGTGAATGGAGAGAGGCTGGGGACAAGTATTAATACTTGGTGGCTATGGGCTCCTTGGTGAGGGCCTTACATGCTAATTGCACTTCCTCCTCTCTCCACTGTGGAATATCAGAGCTAATTTTGATTTCATTAGAAGTCTAGTTATAGGCTGCTGAGCTCATTTTGGGCTGACAGTGCACCAGCACTGGGGCTCCCCTACTACAAGCTGAATTCACCTAAGAGCTGAAATCACTGAGTGTTGTGTTAAGTAGTGGGGGAGCCTGAAGATATATTGTGGAGCAGTTGGCGGGCCGGCTGGAGTGCCTTGCGGACCGGCTGGTGGAGCAGTTTGTGGATGGCAGGAGCTGCTTGTGGGCCGTGGAGCTGAGCGAAGGAGTTCGTGGGGCGGCTGGCGGAGTGGAGCGCAGCTGAGCGAAGGAGTTCGTGGGGCGGCTGGCGGAGCGGAGCGCAGCTGAGCGAAGGAGTTCGTGGGGCGGCTGGCGGAGCGGAGCGCAGCTGAGCGAAGGAGTTCGTGGGGCGGCTGGCGGAGCGGAGCGCTGCTATGGAGCTATGGGGCGGTCAGCTTCAGATCATGTAAGGTGCCTCTTACCCCCGTCCCATTTCCACCCAGGTTGGGAGGTAAAGCTCCGCAGATAAACTTTCGAACTCTGGGGCTGCCCTGACCAGGGACAGAGACTTTTGGGGCATTGGACTTTTGGGACTTTGAGTGATTTGGGGTTGCTGGACTCAAGAACCAAAGGGAAAAGGGCATGCCCCAATTTGCTTGGGGTGGGTTTTTTTTTTTGCTCATGGGTTGTGTTATGAATCCTGTTGGTGGTGTTTCCCAAACATAATGCCACATTGTTTCTCTCTGTTATTAAAAGGCTTTTGCTACACTCAGACTATGTGCTTGCGAGAGGGGAAGTATTGCCTCTTGGAGGCACCCAGCGGGGGTGGTATATATTTGTCCCAGGTCACTGGGTGGGGGCTCGAGCCGGTTTGCATTGTGTTATTGGAAATGGATCCCCTAGATATTGAACCCGGCCCTTGTTGCTGCCAACTCTGACGGGCAGAAGGGTTACATTTATCTATCCAGGATGTGCTGTTCTTGCAGTAAACAAAGCAAAAGAAAAGAGTCTGTTAACTCCAAAGCACATTTAAAGAAAGTGATTTTGGCCAAACTAGATTAACAGCAAATCATTTGAGGTAATTTAAATTGGTTGCTTACACCTTGAGTTTGTTTGATTTCTTTAACTCACCTGAACTTTCACCACTTCCTCTCCTAGCTTCAATTAATCTTGTGTTCTCCAAGCATTGCTAGAAATATAATATGCAGTACGATATTATGAAGCTTTCACAGCGTTCATGCTCTGCACATGTTTTCCTGGACAGGTTTCACAGCAAACAAGTCATGCTTTGCTGTCTGGTTAATCCTCTTAATAGAAGTGATGGGGAGCCAGGAGAACCAGCACCTTCAGTTTCCTCTTCGTTGTAACAAGTGGGTGTACAGAGAAACAGCATTGACCCAGTCACTTCCCCGAACTCTACACACATTGGGGGACAGAATTTAACTATTTATGGATATATTTTAACAGTAGACGCAAGATGTGTAACACATCACATTCTGGGTTTTCCTTGGTCCTGGTCTTTTCATCCACAGGCTGGCAGTGTCCATGTTGGCTATGCAGGCGTGTTACTCTGTGCCTGGGAAAACAGAGAAAGAAGCTTTTTTCAACAGTAATAACTCCCCCACTGTGTCCAGTATAAGGAGAGCTCTCTATAACCCGGGTCACTGCCATGCCAGGTTTGTGGGAGTATGCAAATAGATAGGCTAGATCCACAACATAGCATGCATGGTTAGTAGGTAGCTCATCTTCAGACATACCAAATATTCCCTTCAGGCACCCTTAAGCTTTTCTCCCATCTTTCTTCAGATCCAGCAGCAGGTTTCCCCCCGCCCCCCATTTCAAAGTGTTCTCTGCTTTGAGAAAACGGTTTATTCCTTCCCACCATCACAGTGGGTTAATTCTGTTCAGAGAGGATTCTATGTTAGTAGTGTTATATGTTGACATATGAGACTTGATAGCATCATTTAATGTGATGTTTCAAATGTGCCACTGAATATGCATTGAGACTGTACTGCAGGAAACAACCAGGCTGCTTTGGAATTAGGAGTGAAATATGGGAATCCATAGAGAATGTAGATTCATTATTGGGGGCTTGCAGGTTCTCTGTTTGCACTAGAAGATTTCTTGTCAGCTGTCCAGATGTCTGGCTATTTTAACATCCAGAGTGTACTCTCTAATACAAACAGCGCCTTAGAAATGTCTACAAAAAATTAAGTGGTTTTTACTTTTAAATTAAATTATATTTAACATTTAAAAGGTCATATTCATTTACCATTTAAATTATATTTAACATTTAAAAGGCCAAATTCTAAATGGTCCAGGAACACATGCACATTTATGCTGCAAATGAAGAACACACCTGTATTCTGAGTGATAGCAATTCCCTTCTCCTGAGCTTTCCCGCCACCCACTACATACAATATACTCCAGAGCAGTGTGTGTTTGTATAGTGGAACTCTACATGGTTAGGTCAGAAGGCATACATGTGTAAACATGCAGATCTTATTCCCTGATAATAGACCCTCATTCCCCAATAATATTGCCCCAATATACTCCTGCATGGCTTCAGTGTTAGAAGGCCAATGGAAACTCTGAAGAATGGCAACCAATTTTCATAATGCCAGAATTTGCCCTTAAATGTTTTCCCTCATCTCCTTCCCTTAGGCAACAAATCTGCTGCGTAGTATCTTGAGGCTGTACTTATTCCATTGCATGAAGTAAAAACTATAAATGCACACTAAGTCATTTGTTCTTTACCCTAATCCAAAACTGGCCTTCTGAAACAGGGTATTGATATATACACCGAAGTACAGATACTAGCATATAGCAGACTGGGACTGGGTCAGTCAGAGCCATTTCCAACCTAAAGCACATAGCAATGGCAAATATACCAGTTTGTTCATTATTTTCTTCCTAGACACAAGGGAGAGAATGTTAAAGCTAAAAATAAACCCCAACACCTGTACTTTTTTCTTGTACGGAAAACTGGCATCCAACAGAACAAGATGACTAACCAGCTCCTGGTGATGAATATTCCTCCCACAGACAGAAATCTTACCTCACCTGTCTCTCCCCGCTGAACTCTGATTGTGCTTGTTCATGTCAGGCAAGCATTTGCAGGGCAAGACTGCAGGCTCTGGGAACATGCTGAGACACCTTATGCATTTTCCTCCAGCTCTTTGCACAGCCATGTAGGTGCAGCCTGAGTTTAAAAATGACACACAACTTTGATGCGTAGCTGTAGCTAGATTCTAAAGTACATAACCTGCTACATTAATTTTTATGTGTTTAATCATTATTATCAGCTGTTCAGTGCAGCTGCAAAAGTTTCAGGCATCCAAACATAAGTTAATGCTTGATTGCTTTTATAGGAAAGAACCTCCCTCCCTCACAGCAACTTCCTCCGTTTCACTGATGTTTCAGATGCAACGCTATTTAAATTTCATTGCCAGTTGCATCTCATTTACAAAGGTAACAGAGTGATGGGAGGGGAGTATGAAATTGGGATTGAGTTGGTTGAACTTTATGGCTAGAACCTAGCCACATATTTCTTCTGTTGTCCGTACTTCTTCTAACAAATAAATACTCCCATGTAATGCAGAAGGAATTAATGTCTTTGTGCCCACTCATAGGTGTAGCCAAATGATTTGAAACCAGAAGCAAGCATGGAATGTTTTATTGTGAGACGGTAATTATCTCGGCCACAGGAAGATCACAATACAGTATCATATTACAGTAGGGAGTGCAATTTTCTGATAGCTAGTGGCATTATGAATGTTGTATTGTGGTCATGTGAGACATGAAAGCATCACTTAATATGAAATTTGAGCTGTACCACCACATATGCACTGAGATCAGGAAAGAAATTAAAGGGAAAAAAGAACCCTACCTTGCTTTCCTTTTGAGTGTCTCAGTGAAACTGGAGTGGAGGACAGAATGTCAGAGGCTGTAGAAATTGGAAGGAAGATGAAGAGCAGCACAAGGAAACTTTCAGTTTAACCAGTTCTGTGATTAATTTAGTTTTGCTCATTCTTACGTCACCTCCCCCCCCCACCATCAGGAATAAGCTAATCTCCCCATCCTTTGACTTACACAGGTGTGCCAACCAGCACACTACATGTTCCAGAGGTTGTCTGCCTTTAATGACCATGTGCAAGTGTAGTGCTGCAGCCACACACTGTACATTTCAAGAGAAGATAATGGCCTATCATAAAAACTTCCTTCTTACCCAAGGGAGACTCTTCTCTCCAAGATCAGAGGAACATTCGCAGGAACATAAAAACTTTCACACTGTGACTTCTTTTGCAACACAGACAAAAAAAATTCCTCCCCAAATGTCATTCTATGATCAGAAAAAGACAAAAAGGATATTCGGTGATCAGACTGAACTCTGTGTCTGGAAGTTAAGTTACTCACACTCCACTGAGCCCATGCCTTATTAGTTTGAGAGATCCTGACACTCTTCTTGGGATAAAAGAAAAAATGACCACATACCCCGCATCTTAAAATGTCTATGCTATTAAATCTGGTGAAATAGAGAGTGCTGGCCCATGTGGCCAGCTAAAAAAAAACAGCATGCAGAAGAAGAGAGCTGGACACCTTACTACAATGGAGGAGGAACTATCTTTGAAGAGCCTGCGGGCCATACCTGGTGTCCTGCATTACACAGTACATTGCGTATTACTATGATACTACCATACCTCCCAATGTCTCCCACATTTGCCTCTCTCCCTATTGTGAGATTGCACTCCATATGTTTTATGGAAATATGCTTATGAGTGTGAATATGATGTAACTGGAATATGCTTTATGCAAGAGGTCTCTTGTAAGGTATCATTACAAAGCTGATAATCGACTGAGTGTGTTAATCTTATTTGTATGCATGTATCATTCTTGTATCTGAAGCTAGAAATATGAAGTATAACTCTGAGGCCCTATTGTAATTATGCAGAGTATGTGCCTTTAATGATGGTTTAGAATCTTGATGGCTCCCATTGACTAGAACAATTGGTTGTAAATGGTTTATTTACCTGCAAGCCTTCCTGTGTGAGCCAGCCCAGGAAGAATGGAGGTTAGGGTCTCACAGGACATGTGAGCATGTCACCTCATACTGGAATCCATCTTAAACCTGGTGCTTTTCCATTTAGGAGGAGGGTTGGGGACCCAGAGAAACAAAAGATTCTTGCCTTGTGCCAAAGCTATAAAAGGGGGTGGAACAGAACAAAGGTGGCTGCCAGTCATGAGAACACCCCTGTTTTCCACCTAAGAAGTCTGCTAGAAGAAACAAGGACTGTACCAGGGGAAAGGATTGGGCCCAGACTAGGAAGGAGTCTAGTCTGTGAAAGAAGCTTATTGGAACATCTCTGAGGGTGAGATTTTACCTGTAAACAGTTTCTTAATGTATTAGTCTTAGACTTACGTGTTTTTGCTTTATTTTGCTTGGTGATTTACTTTGTTCTGTCTGTTACTACTTGAAACCACTTAAATCCTACTTTTTATTCTTAATAAAATCACTTTTGTTTATTATTGAACCCAGCGTAAGTGATTAATACCTGGGGGGGAGCAAAAAGTTGTGCATACCTCTCTATCAGTGATATAGAGGGTGAAAATTTTATGAGTTTACCCTGTATAAGCTTTATACAGAGTAAAACAGATTTATTTGGAGTTTGGATCCCATTAGGAGGTGGGTGTCTGGGTGCTGGAGATAGGAGACCTGCTGAGCAGTTTTTGGTTTAAGCCTGCAGCTTTGGGGGTGTGGACCAGACCTGGGTCTGTGTTGCAGGAGCCTCGTGGTGTCTGGCTCAACAAGGCAGGGTTCTGGAGTCCCAGGCTGGCAGGGAAAATGGGCTCAGAGGTAATCTCAGCACATCAGGTGACAATCCCAAGTGCACCTCTGTGACCAAACCGGTCACACCTATGACTTCAGAGTTCAGGCCACTGTGTGATGTCCCTAATGATGCCCTTCATTTCAGGATCAGCATCCCTCATTGTCACTAATCTTGTGATTTAGTATGTCCCATATTGTGGCATTATAATTCCACGGCACCTTAGGCAACTGCCTATGTCATCTGTCCCTAAAATTGGCCCTGGGCAGAGCATGGATAGGAGATCAAAGGATGAGGTTACATACCATGAACACTGCAACTATATAGGCACAAGTTCAGGATGCAGCAAACCTCCAACATAAGCTCTAAACTCTGAATTCTCCTACTTCCCTCACTATGTGTCAAAATCTCATTTGTAGCTTGGATTTGTTCATTTTAACAATAAAACATGTTAAAATAATCTGTCAGGGAAAGTGCCTGAGAGTTGACCCAAAAGACTAAAGCAGCTGTAGTGATGGGAGCTGTTCTGCTGTCTCTGGTAAATGCATACCAGTACTTAGACCCAGAGCATTTCACATTAATATTATAAGAATTTTGTTCACCAGTTAGACTCTGACCTAAGGACAACCACATTATTTTGTATGCACAGTAATTACTCATCCGTTAATAGTCCTCCATCTATCCCACTCAATCCAATAAATCCATATGATAGCACTATCTAAAGCAGCAAATCCATTTTAAAGCTCTACTGAAGAAAAGCTAAACAAAAATGTGTATGCCACGTGATCATTCAATACTACTCACTAGTACTGTTGACCCTCCATGGGAACAATAGTAGATTTAAAAATTGAAAGAAACTAACGACAAAACCCAAGAACTACACAGTTCTTCTCTCCCTTCACCCCATCCCACCTCAACCTTCCAGCCCACAATGACCCACTCGCTGTACATTTAACCTATCCACCAATGGCTGCTACACTATACCTATGAGTTACTTGTGTGAAACAGAAAATGACATCACCAACTTTAAGTACAACCTCCAACTATCTCTGACTTTAATACTCATATTATCCTTGATAAATCACCAACCAGCAGCTCATCTCCACTCAGATTAAAAGGAAGTGTTGGACATATCTGGAATATTTACTCCAGATGCCAACACTGACTCCCACATGAAGCCGTTACATGGAAATCAGCTGGTGTGAGGAAATGTGGGTGTCTAAGAGAAACCTTAAGATGAATCCATAGCAGAGACGGCAGAACAGTCAATCTCCACAGCGTAGAGTAATGGAATCAGCAGTAAATGACAGAGAGGGACGGAAGAGACTCGTTTCCACCTGTGCACCACAGTTGGCTTGAGAAGGACATAATAATAGTAATAATAATGCGTAATTCCTTTATGGCTTTCCATTGGCTGGCAGGTTGACTCCCTAGGCCAGCCAGAGAGAAATGCTGTTTATGCCATGTATGACTTTCTACCTACTCACCAGTACTAGGGAACATAGAGGGTGACAAGTGGTTGGCATCCATAGTAGCTCACTTTGGCTGGCCTCAAGAATGGACCTGCTGGCCATTTAGCCGTTATGTCTGCTACCTGGGGGTGGCAAAAAGGGAGAACTTATTTCCACTAGGTTTTCCCAGAAGAAAGCTAGGCATTCCCAAAATTACCCACCCATACTATTCACAGCCCAGAAAACAGACTCTGATCTACAGCTACACTGCATTCCAGAAAAAAAATATTGGCCTCAAATGCTACTGCAGCATAATGCACCAAGATATTCTCTCTGATGAAGAAAGAGCAGTCTGTGTTGTATTTATGACAGCTTACTGATCAAAGCAAGACAGGCTCTTAGATGAGTACACTGTGTCTCTTACACCTTACCAGTGGTATGTGAACAACAGCCAAAGAAGACATTCTTTTTCTAACAGGATATTGGGATAGCTTTGAGGCTCAGAGAGCAGGTAGGATTCCTATTTCCTGCATTGCCACAGGGCATTGCACTTCTGCTGTTACCAATACATAGAGGCAGCAGCAAGCAAACACACAAGAAAACAGCTGTGCTCCAAATTGCTCATTTCCCTCACACATGCACAGACCATACAAAAACAGCTGGATTGTCCAGTCACAAAGTATCACACCTGTCTTCTTCACTGGAGGCAATGTTAGCCAATGTAAAAAATACTTGGGGATTCTGGTTCACACATCTGCTGCTTCACCTGTTAATTTCATTTTATCATGCAGGATTTTCTTGACAGTGAACAGCAGACAACCATCACGTTGGAGCTGGTGTGCAAGATTTGGAACCATTTAAGCCACTCTATGAATAGTTATGAGATTTTTGCCCAAATCCATTATCCTTAAAAACACACACACACCCTTGCAGTGCTTTAGGTAATCAAGCCTGATGCCATGCTACTGTAACGCTGACAGACCCCAGTCATCAGCAGGCAGGATCAAACCTGGGGCCTCTAGAGCTTAGTGCATGAGCCTCTACCGCATGAACTGAAAGCCATCTGGCTGTTAGCTAAGGCTGTAGAGCAGACTCATTTTCTCTCTTTCTCTCTCTCTCTCTCTAAGGGGTCTCGGTGCCACTAAATGGGACAGAACACCACACCCAGAAGGTGTGTGGGTTACCTACTTCCCCTAGGTGAGGAAGCGTGTCCTGAACTTGAGACTTTCCAGTTGAAATCCTGGACGAGCCCCCACTTGTAACACTGACAGACCCTGGTTGGTGGGAGGGATCGAACCTGGGACCTTAGTGCATGAGCCTCTACCTCATGAGCTAAAAGCCAGCAGGCTGTTAGCTCAGGCTGTAGAGCAGACTCATTTTCTCTCTCTAAGTGGTCTTAGTGCTACCAGATGGGACAGAACACCACACCCAGAAGGTGTGTGGGTTACACTACCTCCTACATGATTAAACTATCACTACTACGCTCTTATACCTCCTGCGCTGGGGGCTTGGGGGTCAGGGGAATAAGGCAGGTCACAGGCAGCTGAGTGTAAGGAGAGAATTCAACCTTTGATTGAAATTCAACTCCACCATCACCTTCTTCTAACATCACTCACACAGAACTAGTACCCTATCTGATCACAAATCAGGACAGCTGATAGTATAAGAATAAGTG